AAATACTAAAAATTCTGCCACATCAGCTCTGTAACCGGCCTTTACCATATATATTCCATATTTCTTCTGAATGTTCATATTACTAAAATAAAATTAGCCACTTTTTCTGAACATTCTAAATGCATTTAGTGTTTTTTCAAATAACAGAAATCCTTAATTAAATCTAAAAATTCTAAAATGAAAAGGAAACATGTTGAAGAAAGAAACTGAGTACATAAAGAAAATTATTCTTCAAAGATACGTGCAGTTATTATTATGTAAATTACCCAATTGTTTATGATTTCAGCCTTTACTATAATTTCTCATTTCTATTTCCTCATATGATAGAGTTGAGCCAGATTAAATTAAAATGAACTTGTATAATCTTTGACCACTAGTCCACATTATTAGTTTGAATTTGATTGTTCTTGTTTAATTACGTCACCATGAGCTGTAATTGAGTTTGTTAGCATCAGACATGCCCTTATGTTCTAAGTTCTTTTTAAATAAGAGGCTTATTTAAACCTTTGTCTGATAATGTAGTTACTTTCAGACATAACAATAATATGCTTCATGTCTGTCGGGGGTTTTGGACTGTATAACTTTTACCAGATCAAGTAAACTCCCATACATAGGTACATTTTGGAGAGGTTGACAAGTTAGGAGATAAAGCACACAGAAACTAGCGAGAGCAATTTTTTTTTTTTTTTTTTTTATATATTGAGACAAATCTCTAATTGTTAAAAAAGATGCTTAAAGAGAAGGAAATCGATATAAACTAGCCAAAATGTCTGGGAAGGCTTCCAATTAAAATGACGGATAAATATTCTGTTGAGTGTTGTTTTTACAAAACATAAATGTTTTGTAGCTTTTAGTGTGTAATTATCCTAATAGAATTTAAGAATCAATGTCATAAATTACATGTATTTTAAGCTGTGAAATTTGATTAGATTTTGATTTTAATAGGGCTTTTTAACAAATATTGTTAAAAAAGTAAAATTTAATAGTGGCCATGTAAATACATAATGACTAAGATTATCAAACTACATAATTTAATTATTTATAACTAACTGCTTACCCTTAAAAATTATCTCTATATGCTATTGCCATTCATTAATACTCACTGTAGTCACAAGATAAAATACAAAAATGTAAAAATTCAAGTAAAACTTATTCTTTGCATCACCTGAGACTTAAAATAATACAAAACAACTTATCACCTCTAGTGCTTTAATGCCTTATTGGAACCTTAAAGTATATTAACTGGGTTACAACCCCTCAAACTCTTCACAAAGCTACGACACTAACTGCATCAAGCAGAGCCTGACTAACTTTCAACACTTCTCAACCATGCCTGCATCAGGCCATTCGGGTTTGTTCTAATCAGAAGGTCTCTCTAGACAAGCAGCAGCAGTGACAACATTCAGTCTTTTGTTATGAATTATGCTGATTATGAACTTACTTCTCATTTTACGTGACAAAATGAGACAAAAAAAAAATCAACATAAAGCTAACTGTTAGTAAAACGTAAATGTTGGTCATATTCTTTCAAATATGACCAACTATTATAAGTGTAAAATATTTAATGCTACTTGATAAATTGCATAAGGTTTATTTTATTCTCAAACTTATTAATAATTATGTTCATTAATTCATGTTTTATAATAATGCATACTACTTAGGGATCTATTTTATTTTTAGGATGGTGTTACAAAAGTGAAATTCAGGCATAGATAATATTTTTTAATTGAATTTATTCAGTTCCCATTTGCTCATAGGTCCTTAATTTTTTTCATTAATGGTCCTTAAAAGTACTTAATTTCTGTGTGCAGAAATGTGTATGAACCCTGATAACATTTCTGGAAATTATTTGAACAATGCTGTACTACTGATCTTAATACAGTCAAAAGTCATTAATTCGGACTCTTCGGGACTTCGAGGATTCCGGATTATCGATTTTTCCGGATTATAGATCATCAGTTTAAATCTGGTACAATGGCATGCAGAAATTATAAAATTAAAAATAGAACAATTATGATCTAAAGGGTATCAAAATAAAAAAAAAAAAAAAAAAAGCTTAATATTTCTTGTTTACTTTATTAAACATTTCTTTCAATGTTAGTTGTTTAAGTTGCTTCGTTTTTTATGTAATAATACTTTCTCTTTAATTCTATAAACAGACATAATTTCTTGTTCAGTTACGAAGTTCCGCTGTTCAAGTCCTATAATTGCTGTGTTGAGAATACCGACTAATTTGTCAATCGAAATTTTTTCGTTTTCAATAACATCTGTGTCACTTTCTTCGCTATCGGAAGCGAATTATAATGACGTGGAATTTGATTTAAATCATATCAAAGACGGAGTACATCGAGATGAAATACTACATTTAGTAAGGAATTATAAGCCAAATAAAATAAAAACATCTGCCCTGAAGATAAGGATAGTGCTGACAGATCAACTTCCAATTCATCGCACGCTGAGGCGTTCCCCCCCCTGGCCTCAGAGCAGCGTGAAATTTATAAACAGATTTTGAAATGATTAGATAAACAAAGGATATGCCTTTATCCATTTTTTGCAGCAATTCCACTTTTTGTTTAATGGACTTCGAAACATACTTTCGCTTTGTAGATCCTTTATATATTAGTAAATATATATCAGAAATTCTATTTGACATAATCAAAAGTTCAAGCTTACTTTTATAAAATTGCTCTAACAGTCTGCAAAAAATAATAAGCCAAATCCAATTCGAAGATTAAGGAACAATGCAATCTGCAACAATAACTGAATTAGATCATTTTAGCTTAGCTTATACCGTCCGTTATACATTTAACGCGCATTCGTAAACATATTTTGCGCATGAGCACACGCATATTCGCAGCTGTAAAGGTCTTATGCGCATGCGTGAACGCGACGCATGAGCAGAAAGTTTGTAGCTTTGAGGTCCGGATTATAGATCATTCCGAATTATGGGTGTCCGAATTAACGACGTTTGACTGTACTCAGAAGCCATCCTTCATCAAAAGAGAACTTGCCAATTTAAAATTTAAATTGAGGGGGGGAGCAACCTCAGTTTAGCATGGATAATTTTAGAAGAAAATTCTGTGTATTATTTTTACCTCTAAAGAAGAAGAACCTGTGTCTGATCCCTTGAAAATCTGTGTCGAACTAATTTTTCTTTTTCCTAATTTTAAGTGGTTTATTAAAATCAAAACTAAGATCTTTGGTAACTTGATCTGTTACCCAACGACATTTTCCATAACTTGGCAATTTATATAATGCATTTTAAACTTATTTGGCAACTTAATTCTGTTTAAAAATTTATTTCATACTATTTTGATCACATAACTGAATTATCACAGAAAGTAGTGTATTTTCCCTGTTTTTACATACAAAAGGGTGGGACAACTTCAGCAACTTGAGAAGAATATCCAAATGATAACATTAACCATGGTCACATGCAGTGTCTGTTGTATTTGGTATTTTATGAAATCTGCATAAAATGATAAATAAACAAATGAAACTAGTTTAAATTACTTGATACAACAGCACTGATAAGCAATGAATAGTGAATGTGCATATGCATTATGCTTGTTTGGAGTTATCACATATATTTATAGCTTTTCCATGTTATAAACTTCTTCTTCGTCTTCTTTTTTTTTTTTTTTTTTTTTTTTTTTTTTTTTATGTAGCACTGAATCTAATTTGTGTTACCAATTATTATGATGATATCTATGTTATTTAAAAATTACAACATAAGTAGTCTATATTATTGCAAATTTATTAAAAAATATTGTAAATTTTTGTATAATATTACTATTCCACCATATATACTGAAATTGGCCCCCTTCTGAATTATGGGCCCTGGCAATTTATCTACTTGTCTAATGGTTAATCAGTTACTGCTAATAATCAATGTAAGGAATTTAGCCTCCAGAGGGAGTCAAGGGCTCTCTGGTTATCGACAGAGTTGCAAAAGGGGTGTGAAGCTTAGCCTCCACATTGGAGTTGATTTACGTGAGCATGTTATTGAGAGCATGCTTCGTAGATTTCCCTGGAGAGAAACTGTTCTATCTGGCAACCATGATATTGTGAGATGTTAGGTGGTGCTTCAGAAAATAATGATCCTTTCCTCCCTTTTGCAATGGCTGGCAGAAGATATATTGGGTTCTGTATGATGAAGATGCTGAAAGATCTTTGTCTTGTTTAAGGAAAAGGACAATCCCCACTCACATGGTCCCTCCCAAGAATAACCAAATTTTCTAATAAGTGTGAATGAAGGTATTTTTAACATTTGCATAGACCATGTAAATGAGCCAGATGATACTATTACTAGTACTATTAGAATAAATCACCATTTGATAACAAAGGCTCCTACAGTTTTTGAAATTTCAAAGCTCATGAAGATCTTCTGTAGCAAGTGTTCTATTACTGCTTTTCTCTTGTTCCTCCATTAGCTTCAAGCTTGCCTGCAACTAGATTTTGACAAGGCAGTGTGAGACTGCATGCAGCATTCAGCAATACTTTATTGCCTAGTAGTTGCATTGCTGTCTTGGCCTGCCTTTGTAATTAGCTAACAAGTGATCAAACACACTACCTATGGCTTCACCAAATGTACTTTGAAATAGCATGGGTTGACATATCCGTTGTATTTGTGTTATACTAGTTATTGCGAAGCCATTACAGCCACACAAAATACTGATTTCTTCATGTTCTACAAGTCACACAGGTTGTAATTTTTAATCTATTCACCCTTGTATGTTATCTATTCAGTAAGCATGGTTTTCAAATACTATAAACTTTGCTTCTAATGATACATCGTCCAGTGACTATGGTGTTTTTTTTTGGGGGGGGAGACTGTTTAAAAAAACTCATTATAAAAAGCTATTGTATGCAAATTTTATTTAATTATAAGCAGAATTTCAAGCTAATTTTTAATGTTGAACACATTTCAAATGTCAGATTTTTGGTTATTCAATATAGATTTTAAATATAATATACGATATGTACTATTTTCTTGTCAGGAATGGAAAGCGCTAGACATGCCTCCTCTTCAGCAGCATCAACAATTAAGTCAAGCTGTAAAATCTCCAAACATAGTTGTGAGTATTATGTATTCCATTTTCACCCATTTTTTTAAGCATTGTTTTATTTAAATCTTAATACAATAGAATTCTGATAATCTGTACACCTGAGACTGAGGGTTGTACAGATTAGAAAATTTTATGGATTACAGGCCTCCCACTTTTTTTAAAAAAATTTGTTTTACATTTTTCCTGCGCAGATCTATATATTTATATATATAATATGTGAAGTATTAGCACTTACAGTGGATGGACAAAAATATGGAAACACCTTGTGAAATGCATGTTTGAAAAGAAAGATTGATTTTAATGAAATGTGTAGGTGGTGCTGGCGTTTTTGACTACTGACGCCACCTATACAACTTCGTAAATGTGCTAAACAGTTCAGTTGTTGTCGGAGTACTGTTATGTGAAATTGTCATTGCATTATGTCAGAGTTAACAGACTTCGAACGTGGGCAAATTGTTGGAGCACGTATGGTAGGTGCTAAGCAAGGTAAGCCGTAAGCAAGGTAGCCGAGGCAAGCAAGGTAAGCAAGGTAGCCGCAGCAAATTGTTGGAGCACGTATGGTAGGTGCTAAGCAAGGTAAGCCGTAAGCAAGGTAGCCGAGGTGTTTAGTGTTTCAAGAGGTACTGTATCGAAGATTTATTCCGCATATTTGAAAAGCGGAAAAACATCATCTGAAATCACAGCGCGGACGAAAGTGTGTCCTGAGTGATCGTGACAGAACGATCATTAAGGGCAATTGTGACGAAAAATAAGAAGACCACAGCTGCAAAAGTTACTGCTGAAATGAATGTTGTGTTACCGAACCCTGTGAGTACCAAAACAATTAGAAGGGAGCTTCATAAACAGGGAATGCTGGCCGTGCTGCAATTGAGAAGCCACTCATCAGTGATGCTAATGCCCGTAACAGGAAAAGGTGGTGTTTAGGTCATAAAGCCTGGACTATAGGCAGTGGAAGCGCGAGTAATATGGTCTGACGAGTCTTCTTTCACATTGTTTCCCACTTCTGGCCGAGTTTACGTCTGGAGAACGCCATCTCAAGCCTATAATACAGACTGCTTGTTGCCAAGAGTGAAAAAACATGGCGGGGGTTCTGTTATGGTTTGGGCAGCCATATCGTGGTTCTCTGCTAGCCCCATGATAACTGTGTCAGGCACATGACTGCCAAGACTTATGCGAACATTTTGGCCGATCAAGTTCATCCCATGGTACAAACTTTGTTCCCCGATGGTGATGGTGTCTTCCAAGACGACAAAGCCCCTGTTCACGCAGCTCACATTGTCCAGGACTGGTTTTCTGAGCACGAGGATGAGTTGTCCCATCTCCCCTGGCCACCACAGTCACCAGACCTGAATATTATTGGACCTTTGTGGTCTACATTGGAACGGAAAGTGCATTCTCGTTATCCACCGCCAATATCGTAATCTGAACTTGCCACCGTTTTGCAGGAAGAATGGTATAATAGTCCCTTGGCAAACATACAGGAACTGTATTTATCCATTCCGAGAAGACTGCAAGCTGTTTTGGATGCCAACGGGTTTCCTACACCATATTAAGCAAAGAAACATGTTTTTTTAAAAGTGTTTCCATATTTTTGTCCAACCCCTGTAAGTAACTTTCAAAGACACCCATGCTTTAATAGAATTACTTAATAAAGATTTATGAAATATAAAACTATTATTTTTTTTAATATAATTATATACAAAAAAAAGGGGGGGAGGCAGTGCAAAAAAAAAAAAGGGGATAATTGAGAGATACTATTACAGTAATGTATGAAAATGTTTTATGTAGAAAATGTTGGTATAGCAACCTGCAAAACTACTTCCAATCCCCCCCCCCCCCGTTAAGTGAATAAGTGAGTAAATGCATGATTTACAAAAATTCCAGCTGTAAGGTTTTCGCTAAATTTAATCCCCATACTAGTTTTGATTGTTTTGTACATGTGCATTTGGAATAAAAATTAATAAAAGGTTCTAAAATTGTAATTTTGAATTTAATGATGTTTATTAGTCAGCCCCCCCCCCCATATTTGAGACTAGAATTCTCTACATTGTAAAAGTACTAATTTTAATTATCTATCCCTTTCTCCTACTGATGCGTGCTCCTTGCAAAGCACGTAAAGAAACCATCTGTGAGGCGCATTTATGTTGAAACTCAGTGTGTCAAAATTATGAACAAATAAATTCTTTAATCATATTACCCACCAATTAACCTCAGAATTAATTTTAAAAGAATGTGGAGTATATATTTAAAAGGAAACATCTTATCTAAAATAAGAATTTGCAGAGATTCATCATCTGTATTTACAGTAAAATGAAAGTTTTGATGCATGCACAAAAAATATTGAAAAACTTTGACAATTAAATGAATTCATTTTATTCAATGAAAGCATGTTATAAATATTCTGTACTTTTGTTAAAAAAGGAATTTGAATTACATTGAGTTAAAAAAATCTAGGACAGGTCTTGACTAATATTAAATTTATATAGCATTATTCTAGCATATTACGTATTTTGTTTATATGTAAATAATTTTAGCGCAATTCTTTGTAAATTGTAGTATCTATTATATAATATAACATGAAAGGCATCAGATTGCAAATCATACCTAGAAAATTAGAGGTACAGGGGTAAGCCCATTTAACATTGATGTAAATGGCTACCTCCTCAAATTGGTGAGTAATAGTTTAGCAATAGTTTTCATGACATTTTGACCCGATCCCACTGAAACTGGTTTGATTCCAGTGTAACTGTATCCATTGCTATGTATGCCTTCCAGCAATTTTGAGAAATCTTAGCTACTGGAAATTTATCTAACAAACAGGGGAAAACTAAATACCAGATAGAATGCCAGTTTTCTCTTTAGTTCAGAGTACTGAATTAAATGCTGCAAAGGACACATAACTGTAGATTTTTGCCTCACCTGAAGTTTCTCTTAAGAAACATGTAAGGTGGTAAGGGAAAAATAAGACACCACAGGCATTCAGAAAAAGTTCATGTCTTAGAATTGTGAGTTGAACAATTTTTCAGTGTAGTTCAGAGTATTGATAGATCACTGTGTGAACTTTTGCTTTCCATTGCTTTGTGCTCTTAGTAGTCTGAAGTGGTAACTACTGATTGTGCTGTGTCTTTCTGAGAAAAACTACATGAGTTCTTTTGTGCAAAAATTTCCAGAGCTATAAAGTTATTTTTTGGGTGGGGATGAAGTAAATTTCATCTAGCTATCATGGGTTCTGTGTGCATTCAGTCCATGCTGGTGATGAGCAATGAAGGAGCAATTAAGACTATTGATGAGGTTACTGAAACTATCCTTTACTGTATTTAAAGGAGAGAAAGGGTGGAAGGGGCTGTCAAGTCTGTTAAAGAAGAGATGAATGTGTGCCAAAAAAAGATGGAAGGGGCTGTCAAGTAAATTTAAGAAAAGTTTAAAGCAGATCAAGAAGAAATGGAAAGAGGAATTACTGTCATAATAATAATAATGATTTTCGAGGCTCTGGAAGGTAAAATAAACATGGTTGAACGTACAGTTGAAGAAATTAAAAAAGAGTTTTTACTGTCAAACAACAAATCAATGACAGAGCTTTTGCTGTCACCAAGGAAGTTGACAGCTTGATTAAATCCGTAGTGAAAATTGGAAACAATTTTGACGGCTTTAAATTCTTACTTGTGTTTTCTAAACCTCTCCAAAGCCAACCACGTATGATGGAAAGACTTCCTGGCAAATTTACAAGATTTAGTTCTGTATAGCAGTGGATGCAAATGGATGGGATTCCAAAACTAAGGCCTGCCAGCTCACCACATCTCTGGGATATGGATATGGATATGGATATGGAGAAATGTGGTGGACACCCATTGTTTAACCATTGGCAATGTGGGTATTGTCTGGCCACACTAGATATTTAGATAAATTAACCCACAGGGACTTACAGGGGATCCGCCAGGCGTGCTTGCAATGCTTTGTATTTACAGACCGCGGGCAGTGCCTTTCTTTTTCCCTTAAATATACATTGGTTTTTTACGGTTGGTGCCTTTCGCAGGTACATGCTATGGAGGGCAGTTCCAGGTCTGCTTGCATACTATGTTTCACGTGATAGCTTTGTTATATTATTCTAGGTTGTGCTGTATAGCTCAATGCCTCTTGTGGACAGGAAGCTCATTATAGTTATGATTTTTTTTCAGAGATGGATGTTCTTGGTAGCGTATTTAATAAAGGGAGTCACTTCACTCTCTGAAATCGGGACTTTTAGATGATGTTCAGCTGTAAGGGGGCATTTGGATATGTAATGGTCGGGACTGCCCCTTTCTCCACATGCACGTTGATCTGAAGTTGCTAGTTTCGTTGCATAGAAGTACGTGGGAAAAGGGCCATGCCCTGATAAGAACCACGTTATTTCTCTAGTTATTAAACTGGGAGCTGTGCCTACTTTTGGAAACAACTGATAAATCCTTCTTCCTTGTTCGGCATTGTCCCACCAGTTCTGCCAGCTGCATATATCCTTCAGATTCTATACAAAAACTAGTGGCTAGACGAAGCACTATTTGGCACATCAAAGCTGTGCTTTGGTGCAAAGTATTTAAAAGACTAGCAGGCTTCAGTTAAATGTCATCAACTGAAGCCCACAGAAACACACTGGGAGTACACCACCTATGTTGAAAAGTTCATTTATCTCACCTTTTCGAACTGCCATACAGAATCAAGGGATCTCCTGGTACCACAGTACTTCATCGATGGCATCAGCTACCCTGAGATGCTAAAAGCCTTGCGAATGCCAGGTGGCAAGGATCTTAATGTTAAAAGCGTCTTTATGTTTGTCCTGAAATTTGAGGTAACCCCAGCAAGTAGCCTGTAGAGACCACCACAGAAGAAATTAGGTTGTTCTTTCGCAGTTATAGGATTAAATTTACGATTGAAGTAGGTGGCAGAAAATTATTTTCATTTCAGCTTTTGCATAATTGAATCTACATTGGGAACTGATATTTTTTTCTTAATAAATTGGATATTAAAAAATGTAACACTGTGATATGCAAAAATATAATTTAATGATATTAGAAATTTGAATTCTAATAATTTAGAAAAGTAAATAAGTAATTCTTAGACTTTTAGGGAAGGCTATTAAGATAATGAAATTTTGTTGAAAATTTTGAATACAAATTTTATAATTATTCTAAAAATGAAGTGTATATAAAATATAAGTGAAATTATTACAGATATGTAATATGAAATTATGATAAATGCATGTTAAAAATTACTGCTGTACAGTTGTTCCTTTTACCATCTTCAGGTAGATAATGTTGGGGATCTTTTTTAAAAGTGTGTTATTTTTTTTATATTATTATATATTTTTTATTGTGGAATGTATTGCAGTTCTCAAAGGCCAGTTACCTATGCAAGGAACGGAGGCCTTTCAAGTAACTGCCTAGGCACCCTGGGCCCACCAGTGCAGAAAAACACACTGGTTAGCTCAAGGGACAGCCTTTGATGGATATGTTTGTTTAGAAGTATTGCGAGGCCTTACAGTTTGGTAAAATCGGGAATTGTAAATGAAAGCCAATAACGGTGGAACCCTGATTTCTGAAACTGTTACTCCTATTATATTTATGGTGTTAAAATATAATTTATCAATATGGAAATTAGCATCATAAATATTTATGTGCATTACATTTAATTATAAGTAGTTATTATGTAAAAGCTTTATTTTGTGATATTCTGTGATAATAAGAACTTTCTATAGAAATAATATTCTAAGAACATGGTGCTATATATATATGTTGTATGATCTTAAATTCATTTAGTGCGAAAAAGTACTATACTACTTGCCCAATTGTGCAAAGTTAGTAATAATTAATTTATTTCTTAAACAATATGATTAATTGATTATATTATTCTAAGTTTAATAAAGTAGAATTATTTTAAAAGAGTGAATCCATATGGTAAGTTTATTTGAAAGATGTTTTGAAGTAACCTCAATATATATATATATATATATATATAATATAATGCATATATATGTAAGAAAAATAAAGAATATGTTAAAGATTAAATTAGCAATGTAAATTTCCCTTCTGAAATCTAAAGCACTGCATCATTTTGAGACTATTCTATGTCATATGATTTTTATGTAATTATGATGATGTAAATTGAACTAAAATTAGAGCAGCCAATAATAATTTTACAGCAATATTAACTATCCAATCAAAATGCTTTGAAAACCAAAACTAACTCAGTCTGACTTGAGATTTCATTCTAAACATTGCACACTTTCTTTCCACATTTTGGCCTAGCTAGATTGCTGTCTGTCTGCTGCTGCTTTCTTGCTACAAAGTTAAAATGTAACCCTTTTGGAACAGACACATTTAATGTGCCAACTTGTGTGTAGCCACAAAATGTTGCTGAAAATAAAACTGAAGATTTAATCTGCCTTCGCCTCCAATTTCGATGTTATGCCTTCGATTTCCTAATTATGGATCAACACTTCTACGACATCAAAATTCCTGCTCCTGAATATATTACATATATATTTGTAAATTCATGCATGTATTTATTCATTTGTTATTTTGTTAGTCGTATTTTATTTATTGTATTGAATTTAATATTCAGTTGTTGATTTTTCTTAGTTGCGAATGTGGCTTTCTTTGTCCAAGGATTGTACTGCTGGGGTCATGCAGTCCTTGAGAATAGAGCAATGTTACAAATTTTGTATATATGTAAATAATTTTGGTGAAATATTATTTAATTTGTAGTATTTGTTATATAATATACTATGAAAGGCCTCAGAAAGGGAAACGTCCCAGAAATATAGGGGTACAGCGGTAAGCCAGTTTAACATTGAGGTGAATAGTTATTTGCTGAGATAGCGCCTAGCTGGCGCGGTGTCACCAATTTTGATGAAAAATCGCCAAAATTTGCCGACATTTGTCACATTTGGGTCCGATCTCTGTGTGACTGTATATGCTTTCCTGCAATTTTGAGAATTAAAGCTGCTGGAAACTTCTCTGGCAAATGGGGTAAAGCTATATAAGATTGGAGACATTATGAGATTTGGGGGTTTAGTTCTCAGAGTATTGAGAGATCACCATGCAGTCTTTTGTCTTGCATTGCCTTGTGTTTTAATGTTCATAATAGTTTTAAATGGTAACTACTGATTGTATTCTGTCATACTGAGAACAGTTGTATGAATACTAGTGTATTAGTTCTAGTGTGAAAATCTCCAGAACTGTAATGTGTTTTTTGTGGGGGGTAGGGGGATATATTACATCAAGCTATCATCAGTTCTGTACAAACCCATGCGTAGTAATGGTATTTGACACAAACCAGACATTTTCTCTACATGCTGATTTTTCCTCATATTTCGATTCTGTGATTCAACTTTTCCGTGGAGTGATTCGAGAATTATAATTTGGCGACTTGGGATTCATGCTTTCATATTGTGCTGAGTACTAGCCTACTTTGCTTTCTGGGGGGAAAACAAAGAATTAATCCAAATATAGCCGAGTTTCTGCATATCATCAACAAATTTTTTGCTCCAACAAACATTGTGTTGAAATTTCTACTTGCTGAAGGTCAAGTAATCAAAGTTTTAGTGCATATTCACAGTATGGCAATTAAGTAATCAGAGTTAATGTGTTAGAGCTTATACTGATTCAGCTTTCGTCTTAATACAAATAAGACAGGTAAGTAAAGAGAAGGTTTGTAGAGGTATGTTATTTTGGTATTGCTATAAGAGTAGATGTCACATTCCTTTTATATCTCCCATGTCAGAAAGAAAGAAAAAAAAAAATTCTTTCAAAATGCACCTTTAGTTTTTAGGAAAATTACAGGGAGACAAATTTGGAGAACATGTAAGATGACTGAGTACTTACTCTTCTTTTCGGGACAGAGTGGTTATTGACCACTGGGAAGCTGCATTATCATACAATGCATTTGGAATAATGGTTTCCTACTAAATAATGTAAGAGTAGAAATTCTACGCTGGATTCTCAGCCATTTAAAAGTCAAAACTTAGCCAAACTTTTAAAACTCCAGAATTGTTTTTACACCTCAACTTGTAAGTTATGCATAATACCCCTTAATTTAAACACTTATTTAATTTTCCTAGGATTAATAACACAGAGAAATAATCATCTTGTCTTTAGCTTAGATTCAAAGTCTGCCAATTGAATTCAGTTATAGCAAATGTAACTGAACATTCATTTGCACTATGGCATGGCAGTTACAAACTAGTGTGTTAACAAAACTTAAACTTTTCTCCCTCTGAGAATATGATAATATTTTAAATATTTGTGAATCAAATAGTAAATTAAATATTAATAGCTGGACTCCTACTTTAAGTGATCCTATCAATAGCCATACAGTTAAAGATTGTTGAATACTGGTAGTTCGTCCCAGAGTGTAAGCCAGGCAGATGGGCTGGCTGCATGATTGGTTTTCATTGTTTTCCACATGTGCAAGTTGAATATAAGCCACTTTCCCTTTAAAAGGCCCTCCCTTTAGGCAGATAGCTCCCATGCTTTTTGCCATATCTAAATAATGGACTACCCTAATTTAAGTGCAATTTGTGAATGCAGATTTCTAGACAAATGAAACTTAGAAAGTGTCTCAGAAACTAGTGTAGTTATCCAATCAAGAGGAATGTAAAAGATAAAGCAACAGTGGTTGAATTGCCAATACTCTTCTTTCTAAACTTAGATTGCTATTCGTTAGTTAAACTTCTCTTGTTTGTACTTTTTGTGGGAATTTATGGAAAGAGTAAAAAATGTAGGTATTAAAATCTTGAGTAATATAAAATTAGCAAAATATGCACAAAAAAGGGCAACTTTTAAATCTGAAATCATTTTACAAGAACTTTAATAAATTATAATTTAACAGTAAATGTAACAGATATAATAATAACATAAAAATAAATGTAATGATAAAAATCTTTTGTTATATTAAGTAAGGTAAGAATTCAATTCTTGACAGTTATATTTTGAATTAAAATTCTAAGTGCATGGTTAAAAGAGGAGTTAAAGCAGCAAGAATCAGTGTAATATTAATAAATTTGCAGGACTAGTTTCACAGGTTACTTCTTCCAACTGCCGAAGTGCAAATTTTTGCACCCATAGTTTGATTACTCCTGATGTTTATAGTTTATGCCAAGTCAGTTCTATGTGAATGTTTTCATTGCTTCATGTTATTAATTTTATGGAGGGATGAATAATCTTTTTATATATTTATTTATTTCAGATAAATCATAGTGTATGCAAAAGAAAATCTGTGCTAGCTGATAATGAAGCTAAAAAAGTCAAAAATGGTAATAAATAAAAAATATTTTGTATTTCTAGTATTGCATTTGCTAGTTTTTATATGTGATAAATTTTCTGTCTCCCTTTTTTCAGATATGAATGATTGCAGTGACTCATGTTCAAGTGATATCCCAGAAAATAAATTTTCTTCTTCTGAAAATGAAGAAACGATTTCCTCTCCTAGAACTCCCCAAACTGCAAGTTCAAAAAGTTTGTCTTTATCCAAATCTGAAGGTACACCAATTTTAGAACAAGGTAATCCTTATAACAAACTTCCAGATGCTGACAAATTTGCCCAAGGAATTACTGAGCATTTGCCATTTGAAAATCTTCCTGATGCAGTTGGAAAATATGAAAAAATGCGTGGAGTGCTGTGTAGTTTGCAAAAGAAACTTCATGAAATCAGAAGTTGATGTTTAAAAAAGTTATCCATCAATTTATTTTTAAAAACAGTTTGGTCATTTTTTAAACAAACAGCAAAATAATAAGTTTTTAATCACACTTTTTTTTCAACGTTATTTTCTTCCCCATTCAGGGTTTTATGAATTTTTAACATTATTCACTTTGGATACGTACATGAATGTTGTAAATAATTTTTAAAATTCACACAAAATATGTATATATTAAGTAATTTTAAAAAGATTTTAGATTGTTTGAAGACTCATCTTTCAGTGTGCATCAAACTCATTTATTGTTTTATTGTTGGTTTTTTATCTGCATTTATTTTGTTGTCATAATAATTTTAAACAAACTTAAAAAGTATTTTCATTGAATTCAAAAGAAATTCGTGAATTAATTTATTTTTCATTCCTATATTAATAAAATTAGGGAAATATTGTCCAGGTAGAATTTTATTTATTTATAATGAAATAGTATTTATTTTCATGTATGATTGTATTTAATGCAGAATTTCATTTTAACTTATGAAGGAAGTAATTTTTCTTTCTTTTTTTTAATTCTCAGTAATCTTAATCCTTAAAAAAAAAAAAAGAATCTGATTACCTACATCATTTTGTTGTAGTTTTTTCAGACATGTAATATTTTTCATTATATAAGCATTTCTCAAGTTTAGTATCCTTTTAAAACCTAGAACTAGCATCCATGTTTCTGAGCCCTTATGTAAATATGACACATTTATATTACATGCAACCTTACATTTGCATACATCGAATAAAATTGAAATTGATGTACCAAAAAGATAGTGCAATTTTCTGGAAATTTGCAGACATCGTATCATTAGAAGGATGTGATAAAATTTTTAGATTACATTTTTTACCTCAAAAATACATGCTAGTGTGAAATGGCTTCACCTTTCTAAGCAGGGAATTTTACTACCATTTGTGGCATCAAAGTCTGCACCTGTCATATAGTGCCTTGGGATTCATGCTTATTCAGTCCTTTGAAAAAAAAATTTGCTGTTGCTTGAAGAAGCTCTTTTTGAGCCTGTAAATTATGTCTAATGATATAAAAGACATTTTCAAAAGCACTAAAATCTGGAAATATAGCAAGCTACCATAAAGGTGACACTTCATAGATATTCTTGAAAAAATTTGGGAATGTGCATTGCTTTGCTGAAACATAATGCTGCATTGGCTAGGATAGCTGATATCTTCCTCATCCATCTTGCATTGTTTTTGAGCTGTTTAGTTAAATTGTCTCATTTGCTGCTTTGTGGCATTGCATGTATATCTTTGGTGTTTAAGCAATGGTGAAATTTATTATTTAAAATGAGACTCTTTGACATTCCATGTAGCTCAGGTAAAGCATCAATGCAAACATAAGCAACACTGCATTTTGTTTTAGTTAGGGAAAAGTGGACCATGCAACATGCAAACCTTATTTCCTCCAAGCAATTGAGAATCATTTGTTAAGTGATGGATTGAATGATAGCAGGAATCATTTATCATCTAATAATGGGCGCTAGAATAACATTTGAAGTAGATAGGACTAAATACTGAAAGAAATAATCATCACACTAAATAGTCACCATCTGTGCTCCTGACTCAGTGTAATGGGTGTATCTTTTCTTAACCTGTGAATGTATCATTAAGCTATCTATAAACTGTATGTGACCTCATACACCTAACTGACCAGTCAACTGTGTAGGCTGATTATCTATTCTTCGAAGTTCCTTTGATGTGTATATTGCTTCGGAAGAGGGTTTCTAGCAATTTTGTTGACAAAATTGACTGTCACAAAGTTTAACTAAAATTGCTTTTTAAAAGTGATTAAACTGATATAAGTGCATGAAATGTCTAATGACCTATTCAGCAGGTTTGCCTTATATCAGTTACAGCAAATGTAGAACTGATTTGCTGCTGTGATCATTTGCATACATTGTGACATTTATGCAAATTTTCTAGCATTTTCGACAAGTAATTTTGTGTGCTATAGTTACAGTTTTACTGACAGTGTGTGACTGGCCATATTTATCACTATTCCTTGAAGGACTTTTAACATTTTCCTTGAAAACTCTTAAGGAAACCTGGTTGAGAGTATACTGCATTATACAGAAACGCCTGTGTAAGCTACAGATGCATAATTCTGCAGTTCTTCAAGCTTAAAATTGAATGAAAGTCTGCAATGAATTGAAGGTGTACAAATTATTATAAATGCTTTCAATCTTTCTAATGTAGGGGAAAGTTCTATAATAACCAAAAAGAATCACTAATTATTGCTGTATTGCATCTAGTTGTCCTTCCATTCAAGCATCTCAAAATATGTTTGAATCTTTAATTTAATGTGTTTTCAAGTGAAGCTACATCATTGGAACACATTTAAGGCAAAGTGTAGTTTACTTCTCTCATAATCATAGTAATGTTTTCGTACTGAAAAATTTTTAGTCCTCTGAATTTGCATTTTCCATTTCACTCTCGAAGTGTAAGTGGTAGTACATGTGAATGAAAAGTGGCTGAAACTGTATATTCTCAGATAAAGTAGGAAAAATTATTTCTGTTTGGGGGATGATGAGACATGGTATGAGCAAAAACTGGGAGGGAAATTATGACCTTGAGATACATACATTATGCTTATGTGTTTAATGGTTTATAAACAACTTGTAGTTTCTCTTAATAATTCTGGGGAAGAGTTTTCCCATTATAATTCCATAAACCAGAGCTACATCACAGAAACTGAAAGTGACTTTTCTTGAGTATCCAGAATTAGTGTTGTTCATAATGGTGTTTATCTTGTGATAATTTACTATCAATGCTTTTATTTTTAGTCCAAAGGGGCTTTGTCCCTGAAGGACTATTGTTGCGATTTTGTGTCGGAACCCTATAAACGATGTATCACTTTTCAAATTGTTGCCGCCAAATACTATCGCCCTGTATTATATTTGAAGAAATTAAATAATGAAGAAATCTGCATAAATGTGTGTATGTTTCTCGCAATGTGATAAAACAACGGTACCTAGAGCCATCCAATTTTGAATGATGTAATCCTACTGCGAATATGGCATCTGAAGGCCCAAATTTGCAACTTGGAATTTGTTTTATTATCGATTTCATATTTTGTAAAACTTTAACGAATTTTTGATTAGCTAATTCAACGATTTAAAAGTGAGCAATGGCAATACTCTATGGGGATGGGGGGACTTTTTATCCAGCGCGTGGAATTGTGTATCGGAAATTCTAAAAATATGCTCATTTTAAAATTATTTGGTGGCATTGCTGTTGAACTGAATTTTATGGTTTAAGTGCAAAGAACATGATATTTATTAATAAAAAAATAAAGGTAAACACAGAAGACATTAAAAAAAACACCCCTTTGGCCGTAATTTAAAATCTGAAACCTTTCTCTCTCTTCTTCTTTTTTTTTCCCCCCCAATTTTGTTAAGCTTTTTATACAGTTTTACCTTGATGTGCAAAATCAAGGATTGGATTAATTAAAAATCATTTTTAGTGGGAATCTTTCATGTGGTAAAAATGGATACTGTTCCATCATATTCCATCAAATAAACCTGGTGGAACTGGTAGAAAAATATAATTAATAATTAATTTTCAAGCTGTTCTGGAAAGTAATAGGTCTTTAATTAGATGTTTTTTGGGGGGAAGGAGGAGAATTGACTGAGCTGAAATTTGAAAATTGTCACTTCTTTATTGTATTTACTTATTTCATTCCATAATATGTACTATTATGATAAAACCAATTGGAATTTTTATATTTAAAGCAATTTTCTTTTCTTTTAAAAGAATATCTTTATTGAACATTGTATTTTCCATACACATAAGAAAGAAACATACTTAACAATGAATTGGAACATCCTGTATTTTGCTTACAATGATATATTCAAAAAGTGGTAAATCTTTGCTCTCCTCTCTCTTCTCTCTTTTTTTAAGGGCTGTCTTAGACTGTATAATCGCTGATGGAGACTCATTCCTGTGCTGTGGGTTTGAGTTCAAATCATAGATAAGGCATGGGCATTTGTGACTACTATGGTTTTGTGGCATGGGGCTCTTAAAATCTGTTAGTGTAGGATATTGGTGGCATATGAAGGAAGAAAGATAATACTTTTATACTTCAGGGTTTGCTGTTGGTCAGTATTAAGATGGAGGCATATAGCCCTCATGTGCTTTAATGAAAATTAATTAATCCAATCCTTTCTTTTAATAATCGAATTTAGTAAGATGTGATTTGGAACAAGGTGAGAGGCTTAAGGATCTTGCTGCATTTCTAATTCCCCCTCCCCTTAACAGCATTCATAATATTCCCTTTGGTTTCTTTTATTGAATCGTTTTCAAGAAATGTCACTCTAAATAGATTTGGAAAAAATTCAGGATGCCATTTACTTGCATTTGTGGAAACCCACCTTTCGTTTAAATAACTCAGAAGTTAATAATAATCTTATTTCTTATTGCTTACTTTAACCTAATTTATTAATGTCACTGGTCAGAAGGCTACTGTTTATCCTGGAGGTCCTTTAATGCTGACAAGTCTGTTTTATGGTTTCCATGTGTCTATTTGTGATTTCACTGATGTTACTAAATGTTTTATAACTCACGATAGGGATTTCAATAAAGTTGTCATCATAGGCATGTGTCTTGAATATCTATAAGTATTCATAGTATTTATCATTATCTCGGATGTATTTATTTTTCACATCTTTTATTCAGCTCGGCTGAACCAGCCATTTTTATAAGAAATCTGATGATCTTGTATTACACATATGAAGCTCTTGCTCATTACACATATGAAGTAATTAAGCATAGTGAGCTGACCAGTTTCTACTCATTTTTACAAATCTGCCATTATTTGTTTATCTGTATATGAGGATAACAAATAATATTTAATTCTTATTGCTTACTTTAACGAGTTCAAATAATGCTCATTAATCAACTAAATGCAGTGTAGGTATAATGATTTAATGCGGTAACTTTGTGTAGATTTTTTCTAATATTTTTCCACCATATAAAAGTTGAATAAATTCTAAAAGCCACATGAAAGGTTTTGAGATTTTCATAATAATAATGAACAGACTACATGTTGAGAAATTAATATAATCATATATAAAATAACAAAACAGATTTTATATAACATTTTTAGATATTTGTAGATTCCATATATTACTCCATAATTATAAAGCAATATCTTTTAAAGAAAAATTCTAAACTGAACATTCTACTTTTAATTTTAAAAGCTTAAAACTTTTTACTTCATATCCTTATCACGTTTTCAGTTTTTTTTACTATTGTATCATTTGGTCTA